TCCTTAATAATAATGATAATAATAATAATATACTCTATAATATACTCTATAAAATAATAGATGATAGGTAAATAGTAATAAATAGGTAATAAGTTATCAGATAAATAATATTTTATTACATTTATTACATTATTGTAATTATTATATCAAAATAATAGTAAATATTACCAAACTAATAATAATAATAATAATAATTATTATTATTATTATTTGTCTGGTAATATTTACTATCAAACAATAATTTATATAATTATATTATTATATCAAATTAATAGTAAATATTACCAGACAAATAATATACATAATAATAATATTTTATTATATTTGTACTCATTGAACAATTAATTATAATAACAATAATAACAATAATAATAATAATAATTATTATTATTATTATTATTGTTGTTGTTGTTATTATCATTATTATTAGACAAGTTATTCATCAACTACCTAAAAACAGAATGCTGTAGAAAACACTGACCCAGACACATGATCAAACCCGTGAAGAATGGTGTCATCACAATACCCCTCAGACCCATCAGAGACCCCTGTTCTTTCAGTCTCCAAAACCTGTTCCACGTAACGGGAAGCTCAGCTGATCTACATGATTAAAACATCCTGCTCTAGGGCCGGTCAACCACACACAGGAGGCAGCATCGAGTGACAAGGTCAGCCAAATGTCGTGTGAGTGTGTGTGTGTGTGTGGGTAGTTGGCTGGGATTAAGGCTGGCGAATGCCGACTGGAGAAACAAGTGCCTCTTCACATATAGGCCTAAATGGTAAAGACTTTCTCTAGCCTAGCAGGTGCATGTCTGTATGCGTGTGTGCAAAGGAGGCGGGATTCTTGGTGAGCCGCCAGCCATAAGGTCAATGCAAAGCAGGAAGCAGAGGTCCACAGCTCTTGCGCTGCAGTTCCTGTTCTCTGCAGGGTATCGCCTTCTCAGCGTAGCTGTCTAGAGCCACAGAGCCAACACCCAGCACCCAATCACACATACACACTCACAAACACACACATATTCACACTCACACACACACACTGAGAACAGCTTTCTATATACTCAAAACCATGAGCTTTTCACTTTAGCAAACAAGGAAACAAAAGGCACTTGGAGATGAAAAACAATTTCTAGACTTTCAGAAATGCTTATTAATGGAATACGACAGTAGATAAAACCTGAAGTGCTCAACTTCTGAGCCATGAGTAACTGCAAAATGAATGACTCTTTTTAACCAGTTTTTCTAAACACGCCCCCCATCTGCCATTGGCTGGACAAAGAGATAGCCCCGCCCTCGGCATTTTAAACTGGAGATAAAAGATTTTAACACTTACTGCAAAAAGCGACAAATGAGCTGATAATTATTTTCATAATTATGTTATCACCAATAACCGATAAAAGGCTGATAATATAATTATATTTATCTTCATTTAATCTATTGTCTATTTAAATAAATTAATTCAGAATAAAACCCTAAAATCAATTGTTTTAAATGTTACATTTGATTTCAGTAATTATAACTGTTAACCATTTTCTCACTTATTAACCAGGATGTTTATATGACATTAAGTAGTTTAACTAATACATTTAATAAAAAAAAATCAATGAAATGTAACAAAAGAATATATGTTACATAGCATGGGCTCTCTATATGTGACCCTGGACCACAAAACCAGTCTTAAGTCGCTGGGGTATATTTTAGTATTTGGCAATCCTTTGACAATTTATTTATTTATTTTCATAATTATGTTATGGCAAATAACTAGGGATGCACCGATACCGATACTGGTATCGGTATCGGGCTGGTACTGGCCTCCTGTACTCGTACTCGTACTCGTTAAAATGCCCCGATACCAAACGCCGATATTAATTAATTAATTATAAATAAAACACTAAAATCAATTGTTTTAAATGCTACATGTGAATTTAGGAATAACAGAAGTTAACATGTGACTTATTCATAGGATGCTGATTAGTAGTTTAAGATAAATATTCAAATAATAATAAAAAAATCAGCCATTTATTTGTTATGGCTGATAACTGATAAATGGCGGATATTAAAATTATGTTCAGTTTGAATAAGTGAATTAATTAAAAACAGTACATTAAATCAATCGTATTAAATGCTAGATGTGAATCTAGGAATCATAACATTATAATGGATATTCATTTTTGAGGTTTGCTAAAGATTAACATGATTTAACATGAAGTGTTAAAGCATTAGTGTTTTTACAAATTAACTTCAAGTGAACGTTAAATAAATAAATAGATACTAGCAACTAGCATGCCCAATGAAATAAACAATATTGACTGATACCGATAAATAAAAATAAAAAATCTCATGACTCGATATCATTCATCACTAGTATTTCTGTTTTAATATTTAGTCTACACACTGAATTGCTGCACGCAAATATGCCAATACAGCCGTCAGGTCTCTCTGTCTGTCTCTCTCTCTCTCTCTCTCTCTGCACTCATCAACTGATCAATCAGTCTGTCAGTGGATATGATGCAGGGCAGGAAATGGAGAGACTGCAGGAGGGAGAGGGGCCCAGAGCGAGCGGAGCGCCGGGAATCCTGCAGCAAAGGCTGATGGGAGATTTCTGCGCTCCGGGGGCAGTAGAAGCGACTCGATTCCATAAACAAGGTGCACGATCGGTCAATAGTTGCCGTCACTCAGCGGGAACAGTGAGTCGCCATGGCAGCGCCACAGGGCCTGTTTACAATCAGGCTTCCTGGGACTGAAAATATCAGTGCAAGGGAGCGTTTGCACAGCATACAAGCCACTAATGAGTCATTGTCTTTCATGACACTGCTTCGAACAGCATGTGCCTAGATTTTGGGACATGGTTCGATTTCAGACTCACCTGTTTATGTGGTCCTCTCAGGATGTGAGCTCTGGCCCCTTCACACGCCGTCCTCATGGCCTCCAGTGACGGAGTCCCCAGCAGATCTGTGATTAAGTCCAGCTAGTACATAACAAAAAAAGGGAAGAGCAGATGAGTTTTTTGTATAGAATTAATAAAGAACAGCATTTGTAAAAGATGCATAAAACAAGCTCTTTGTACACATATATTCTGAAATCCAGGAGTTCATTTTTGCCACTGAAGTATTTTTTTTTTTTACATATGAATTTATTTGTTACTATATCTAGCCGATAGAACTCACTGGTTTCCTAATTTAGAAGATATCCAGGGATTTTCAGGGATACCACATATTCAGGATTGTGATTATTTACAATAAAAACAATAAATTAAATATAACGCTTAATATAAATCACCTTATATAACAATTACAATTACTAAGAAATGTAATAAGAACTATTGGTAACACTTTGCTTAAAGCCTCTATGTGTAATGCATTATAAAGGTATTCATAATGTACGTTGTAATGCATTACATCTTTTCATAAGCAATTATAACCAAAGTTAAAATTAATAGTTGAAAGTTTGTTTGTCGTGTTTTTTAATGCATTATACTTTATAAAGGCATAACAATGAATAGATGAGTATCATAATGTATTATAACTGTGGTTATAATTATTTATGAGATCATACAATGAATTATATGGCTCATTCTAAGGCATAATTAATTCAGTAAAACTATGTTTATAATGCATTATATATAAAGACCTTAAGTAAATTGCTACCAAATTGTTAGAAATGTAAACTAACTACAACAACACCAACAACAATAAAAAAAATAATAATAAATTGTATTGCATAACTGTATTTTCATAATATAATATAATATAATATAAAAAGTTAAATGTATTAAATTTATTTTTAAAACTCTTTAAAAAAAAACACAAAATAACTGAATGTAACAAAAGAGTAGGCGAAGGACAATGGGAAAAAATAAGAAACCACATACATGTTCATGATCTGTACATAAACAAACTGGAGCAGAACCATGGTCAAGTAAATCAAATTCTTTAATGAGAATTTAATGAGCCTTAAAGGGGATGTCGATGTGCTGTAGGTGCACATTCAGGGCTGTGTGGACACAAACACACACTGTGAGGAACAGCTAGTCCCAGAGTCTCTGACACACTGCAGGGCCAGTATTATTAGAACATACGGCTCATAACATTCTATGTGAACTACATAAAACTAAAAAGTGTATCTGTAGTTGTACTTCTCAAACAGTTTCTTACTTATGTTACTACATCATACTTAGGGCCCTATCATACACCCGTCCTGCACCGTGTTGTTTAAATAGCAAATGCATTTGCGCCCATGGTCGTGCTGGTCTAAAAAAGAGGTGTGTTCAGGCACATTGTTGGCGCGTTGCTATTTTGAGGAACTGAAAATAGACTGCGCCATAGACCAACTCAAACCTGGTCTAAAGTCTGGCGCAATATTTTTTCTTTGTTATTTAAAGAGCGCGTTAGTAATATGCGCCTATAGGCGGGTGCACAACGCGC